AATTTTATTTTTTATTTAAATTTTAGTAAAATTTTTAATTAATTTCTGATCGAATTAATCTGACTATTATTTTAAATAATAGACAAAACTATTTCAAGAATTTATACGTACCAATTATTAACATTTTTCTATAAGATTAAAAAATTATAGAATTTATAACTTACGAGAAGATATTTGTATGAGTAAAAAATTTAAAAAAGGGTAAAATAAAATAAGTCATAAAACAACAATTTAAAAAACTAATAATGTTATATAAAATAATAAAATATTCAAATTAAAATATAAAAAAAATACATAATTTAGGACAATAAACCAAACAATTAACTATAATTTGTCATTTAGTTTTTGTTTTTAAAAAATACATGTAGTCTAATTGGTCATTAATCAGTGACAAAGAAATGGGCCCAATTATTTAATTGGGGTAGCTCTGTTGTCTTCCGCAAATAATGGAAAGCACATTACAAAGGCATATTATCAGTAGAAGAAAATATTCTTAGATAAGCCTTTACCATTACGTTTGGTTGGTCAACCGTCAACGGTAATCTAATATTAATTAACACAGCGATTTTTTTTAATGAACATTATTATTATTTTTTGTAAATGAAAAATATTATTATAAATAATTTTATATTTATATACCTCGAAATTTTTATATGCAACATGAATTCTTGCAATGCGATCTAGTTAGATTTTTATATTAATCATAATGAATTATTTTTTTTATAAAATAATAACTTATAGAATTTTTTTTTCTCGATAAAACATGTATTTTTATTATTATAAAATTTATAAATAAAATAGTTAGTAGTGAGGTTATCATTATTCTTTTTGTCATAACTAATTTTATATGTGTTATTAAGAAAATAAATTTATTAATTTTTAGAAACCTTAAAGAAGTGTGAGAACACATAAAAACTTTTTAATATAAATAGAAAAAAGATGTAACTCTAGTTAATCCGTATCATATTCACTAGTTAATTAAAATGATATGCATGCATTTAGATATTTTTAATATTATTTGAATATATTTTATATTTATTTTAATAATTTTTGAAATAAAATAATGAAATTAATTTAATAATTTCAGTAAAATAACTAATACTGTACTAAATAAATAAATATTATCTTTTCAAAATTTTGT